ATTAGAATTTTGGAATTATGTAAAGATTTGAAGATTCAAACAAGATTTTGATGACTTGAATATCTCAATCGAAAGGGTTCAATATGATTCCTTCACTATCGTAGAATTTTGTTCAAATTCATGATCCTTTTTTTTTTACAAGAGGCTACTTAATAACCATTGACATAAGAAAGACGCACTGCTCCAACAAGAAGATTTATATTTGGTCATTTAGTCAGGTTTTGGGAAGTGGGTGGGATTGATGAGAAAAAGCCGAATATCTATATTCTTATGGTTCGTAATTTTAAAAAATATTTTGGTGGGAAAGCTTGTTGAATTTGGCTAGGAAAGTCTGCAGAAATAGAAGTGAATAACAACTATTTGACGAAAATACATATATTATAATTTACACTGTGTGACTACTTGGCATTCTCACATTATTTTTCTACCTCTGTCTGTGGCTCTCAATAACCCTCTCTAACAGTGGTTCATACTCTCTCTCTATGTGTATGCATCTCCCTCTGTACATATGTGTGCCTCTTTTTCCGTCCACTCGTCTGTGTGCCGCTCTCCCTATCGACCGACAGCGGTCTTCTGTCTATCTCCCAGTTTGTCCGCATCTGGATCACTAACACTCTCTTATCTCTCTAATATATATATATATATATATATATATATATATATATATATATATATATATATATATAGAGAGAGAGAGAGAGAGAGAGAGAGAGAGAGAGAGAGAGAGAGAGAGAGAGAGAGAGAGATGTGACCTGATGAACCAGGAAAAATATATTTTCTTGGGAAATAAATTATAGTCATGGAAACTTAAGGTTGTCTATTTCTTAATTAATATATATATATATATATATATATATATATATATATATATATATATGGATAGATAGATATCATATATATGTATCATATATATATCATATATATAATCTATATATCTTATATATATATCTTATATATATGTCATATATATCATATACATCCATCACATATATATCATATATATATTATATATATAATATATATCATATATATCATATATATATACATAATATATAAAATATACATGATATATATCATATATATTATATATATATTATATATGCATATCATATATCATAGATATATCATATACAAAATCATATATATCATATATTATATATATATATCATATAATCATATAAATATGTCATATATATGATATATTTGTATATATGTCATATATATTATATATATACATCATATATATATAATATATATGATATATATTACATATATATTATATATATCATATATATATATTATATATATATCATATATATATCATATATAAAATTATATATATCATATATAATATATATTTCATAAATATTTAATCTATATGATATATATATATGATATATATAATATATATATATATTCATATATATATTATATAGATCATATATATATATATTCATATATTCCTATATAATCACATATATACCTATATAATATATATATATATATATACATATATATATATATATATATATATATATATATATATATATATATATATATATATATATATATATATATATATATATATATATATATTATCTCCCTCAATATGTTATTATTATATATGGAAAGCAAATATTTTTTATTCATTTGATGTTTCGGTATTAACATGGGAGTTTTGCAAGAGGTGGACTGTTATGAAATGGTAGAGATGGCTGAATGTATTTATTCAATCACATACAGACTTGGACTTGACAATGTAATATCCTATTGTTATAAATTTAAAAGCAATTCAAAAACAGCAGGAAGATGAGACAGCGATAATCTTAAGAAAGGCTTTCTTTTACAAACTAAACTGAGTCGAGCGACACTCTCGTTGTCACCCCATATCATCACCCTCCCCAAAATACAGCAGAATATATAAAATAAAATATACTTTCTTTTGCATACAATAAAGTTACATAGAAAGCAAAATGAAAAATTTAATTTTATATCATGGACTGCTAAATGAATTCGTTTTTCGGACATTATAAATCAATGGAGTTAGTAACTTTATTTGCGTACTTGATACAAATGATTATATACTAATCAGACTAGATGAGGTTTAAGTCTTACTGATGATTGCATATGAATAGTAAAAATAAAGCAGAAGGATTATATTGTTCGCATTTAATCTGTAGCTTGCACCGTTTACTTGTCATGAAATATTGCTTTATATTTTCGTCTGTTGACTTTATTTGAAGTTGATGTTTTCTATTCATCTAATATTGTCTATTTAACACATTTTATCCAGATTTATAAAAAGATCTGAAATTTTAGAATGGAAGTGATGGAAAAAATTGGTGCCGATAATTGCGTATTAAAAACCGTCCCCATAAATCGAAAAGACAAAAGCAGAGAAAATGAAATTCGAGAAAAATGGCGAGAATGCCGAGAAAGATGTCGTATATTTAAGATTTTTAACTTAATCTCCGGTAACAGTTGAGAGATATCCTCGTGTTGAATTCAGAGATATCATCGTAGTGAATTCAGAGATATCCTCGTGGTGAATTCAGAGATATCCCCATGGTGAATGCAGAGATATCATCGTGGTGAATTCAGAGATATCATCGTAGTGAATTCACAGATATCCTCCAGGTGAATTCAGAGATATCCTCCAGGTGAATTCAGAGATATCCTTGTAGTGAACACAAGAATTTTTGATAAATGAAAGCAACAACAGCACACACTGATATTCCTTGAGACACTAACATAATTAAAATAATCAGGAAAACCGGACGAGACTCAAAATTACTGAATGTTGTCTTTAAAATCTTTTCTATGAAGTTGATTAGAATTCACTTCGATATAGGCAAACTCAACTGACTTTAATATATTTTTCTTATATGTTATATCTTATATAGGTGTTAATGATAAGTAATTTTTTTTATTTCAAACCAAAAATCTGATGATGCCTACAAAAAATTTGAATTTTGGTTTGAAATAATAAAAAAAAATTATATAACTTGTTTAACAAATAACCCAATCATCAGATTCATAGTAGAAATTATTAACTAACATAACACCCTTCATAATCCATAGCCCAAATTAGTAGTTTAAACACCTTACATAAAAGATAACCCTTTATGAAGTCGTCAAAAAACAAACGTTACGAAAGTCTTTCTTTTTATATGCACAATTCCCTTTCATAATAAAATAAAATAAAATAAATAAATAAATCTCCATAGACAAGCCAACTTGACGAAAGCTTAATACATCTTCGTTTCATTTTGACACCCTCACCTTCCCCCGACTTGACACCTTGAAAGTATCTCTATACCGCTACTCATCATTAACACCCTACACTCGCCTACCCATTTTAGACAATTCGCCCTAGCTGTTACCATGGTGATTTTGATTTCAATTTTTAAAACAAGTAAATTTCAGATATACGTTATTCCAACAAAAATTTCGCTTGAGGATGGAACGGAGCCCTTTTTAATTTCAACTCAATTTAATTTAAAGGATTATATTGAAGTTTTCGGCTCTTGTTTTGAAACATGAGACCTCTTATGTAGCGATTTGGAATCATATTTTTAAATAAATAATTATATTTATGCTCTACTTTTTGTATCGAGCACTATTTTTAAAAAAATAATAACTAAAATACTAAGGAACTTTGGACTATTTACCTAACCAGTTCCTTCCTATTTTCCATATATCTTCATATATATATATATATATATATATATATATATATATATATATATATATATATATATATATATATATATATATATATATATATATATATATATATACACACATATATATATATATATATATATATATATATATATATATATATATATATATATATATATATATATATATATACACACATATATATACATATATATATATATATATATATATATATATATATATATATATATATATACACACATATATATACATACATATATATATCATTTTTGTAATTATGATATATATATATATAATCTTTGTAATTATGCGATATATAGATATAATTCTTGTAATTATGCGATATATATATCTATATAAGTGTAATTATGATGTATATAATTCTTGTAATTGTGACATATATATATATTTATATATTTGTAATTATGATGTATATAATTCTTGTAATTTTCTCTATATATATATATATATATATATATATATATATGAGAGAAAATGAAAATGAAAAGAGAAAATGAAAAGCTGTATTAAGTGAGTGAAAATATGACGTTCTACATGCGTGCGTCACTTTAAAGAACCTCAAATAAGAAGAGACAATAAAAAGTAAGAGAGGAAGAAGACTGGAAGGGCAAAAAAGGAAGAAGTGGAGAAATGGCCGAAGAGAGGTTTAATAGTAATAGTGAGAAACGCGAACAGTAAAGTATGGGAAATTTGTAAAGAGAAAATCCATCGGAAAAAGAATCTGCAAGACAAAATAGGAAAAAAGGTAGGAAAATAAAAGCCAAAATCTCGTTATGGAATTAAAACAAGAGTAACTTCAAAATGTGTAAGCCGCTCTGCCTTTGCGTGTTAAGATGCAACGGTGTTTGTTTTTGTTTTAATTAACATTTGCCTACATCATATGGCCCTTCATTGTAACGTCTTTGCTAATCTCAATATCACAGTCATTGCCATTTTGCGTGTTGGTCGCTCGATTTTCTTGTCTCCGTCGATCTGTTTTAACGCATGACGTCACTACAAATCACGTGGTATATCTCTTGATTTTCAATTTTCGCTGCATATTTTTCTCTTCGTCTCTCGAACCATTTTCAGCTATTCAAAAACATTAAAAGTATCTGGAAGCGGATTCTTTAAATTCATTTTCAGTTGCGTTAGTTTTTCTCAGATGCATTGGAATTCATATAAGTCTTTTACGCTTTTCATTTAATTAAATGGCATATTATAAAGGGCAGCATATTTTGCATACCTTTGAAATTCGTATTTCAAAAGTATGTTCACTCGACACAATGGGTTTAGGCCATGTCACGTTGAAATACCGGTTCCCGTACGAGCACTGATGTTAAGCAACATCAAGCCTGGTCAGTATCGAGAAGGGTCACCGCTTAAGAATACCAGGTGCTGTAAGCTTGGATGGTTTAATGGATAATGGCTCGGAATTGTTAATCGGAGAGCCGAGTTCCAATTCCAGTTGGGTTAGGTGCAAATACCTTTGGCAAAGGTTTGAATCCACCTCTCATCCCCCAACTATTGGTTAATTATTAAGACTTGTATCAATCATTGTCTCCCTCCTCCCCCAACAATTATTACAACCTAAAAATATTTTCTGGCTTTAAATAGCCTGCAAAGTGTTGATAAGTCGTAATAAACGAATCAATCATTCAAGCCAATACAAGGCCTGAGAGCCACTCAAAGAGAGCGTGTTACTGTCACAATGGTTGTGATGAATGAGGTGTATTATATAAATGAAAGAGCACGTAGTAGAAAGTTAAATTTATAAAGATAAAAAGGATAGATAATGAGTGAGCCTTGACTTGAAGAAGTTAAGGTTATCATTAGAAAAACATCACTGCAGAAGTCTTTTCACAAATTATAAGTTCTGCGAAAAAAAAAAATGTTTGGGTAAAACTTTGTCATTAAATTTGTAGTGCAGAGGAAATGAAGATGATTCGACTCCGTGGAAGTGGCATCGTCATAATTACGGAACTCTTTTACTGGTTTGAGATTTTCAGATGAGTTTTATTTCGTCTGTTTTTCATTGTCGCCATGAGAAAGGTAAGAGTCCGGATATTTGCATACGCTGTCCATTGATCAATCATTTAAAACACCACAATGTGTGAATAAATGTGCCATGCCAAAAAGAGGCCACAACCGCCACGATGGCGATGGTTGGATTATGATCAAAGTTTAAATTGTTTATTTAGTGGAAATCTGACTTGGATCACATCCCATGAAAAGAGCAGTGGCCCAATCTTTAACGGTAAATGTTGCGAAATCATACTCTGTGATTTTCTCTATTCGTCTGACGTATGTAATTCCAAGATTAGATTTTTATAAAAAAGCAACCAAAACAATAGCGAAATTTGCATCGATTTTTTTGTCAAATTTGAATTTATGTATTAAATTGTAGAAAAATACGATTAGTGAGGCAATCTTTTCAGAAACGTATTTTTTTATGAATCAAATTTGAGTGCTTATATAAATAACAGCAATTTAAAGATTGCAGATTCCATAAATAAAAAAGTTAAAACATGAAATGCAAATAATTGTAAAATATAGAAAAACGGACTACAAATGATTTTCCAGTCCATTTACAAAAATTACTTTTAGTTTCTACTTAATAAAATAAGCACAAGTATTTTTCTCTTTCTAAAATCGGAATACCAAAAGTGAATGGAAACAAAAATAGATGATTTTAAATAAAACAGTTCAAAGTAAAAAACGATAAGAGAAGAAAAAAACAAAAAACAAAGATAATTTGAAAAGTGATCTTATTTTTATCTCATTTTCTCTTACTTCTCTTTCTTTTCATTGTCTTTCATTCAATGTTTGCTCGTGCCATTTGCCCAGAATGAACGTCTACTCATTAAAATCAGTTTGATGTTGGAATAATGAATTCGGACGCCATTGAAGTGACGTCATAGCCAGCCGATGTCAGGCGTGTTGCTCCGCATGTTGGAAACAAAGCAAATTGCAGTGAGCCAAATTGGGCAAGATAGCAAAAGGCTGAGAATAAATGGGAGAAAACATGGGGGAGGGTGGAAGGCAATTAGGCAAGAACACATAATGTTAACAGACAGGAAAAAGAAGATAAAAGTTTAGAGCAGAACGAGGAGGTGGGGAGATGAAAAAGTATTAAAACAACCGCTTGATTGAGAAGAAATACGTTGACTCTTTAAAGTCGTAGAATGGAAGCAGATTAAAAGCATAACACCCAATGAACGATGAGAGAAGAATAGAGCAAAGAAAATGATATAATGTTCGGAAGTTGAGTGACAGAAAATAGTTGTATGGGGAGATAAAATAACATAAGAATAAAAGAAAAAAAAATGGCAAAGAAAATATGGTTGTTGGAATAATTTTAAGAGAATGACGAGAACGATAGATAAGAATAAAGAGTTAGGAATGAAAGCGGTTACAGTATGAAGATGATCTTTAAAATAAGAAAACGCGAATATCTGCAGATACATGTACACAAAGGAAAGGAAAAAAAGGTGAAAGAGAGCGAGAGAGAGAAAATGAAAAGAGGAATTGCACACAAGAAATGTTAAGGTTCGGTGATTGTGAACAACTAGATGAGCGACACACAAAGAATTATTAAGAGAAAAGTAAGGTGGAAAAAATGAAATGGAAAATTTGGTCGGTTGAAAGAACGGGTTAAAAGGTCAAGGTGGAAATGAAATGAGAAAATAAGGAAATAAAAAAATAAACGGTGTAAATCATTTTAAGGAAAGAACTTTTGGGGGAGGTAACTGATAAAAGAAGGTAAGAAAGCCTTAAATGATGGGAATTTAAAAGAACAACGTGAAGGAATAGGAAGAATATAAAAAGGGTTCGGCAAAGTACAAAAGTAAAATGACAGGGATTAAGTTGAAGTATAAGCCAGAATGACAAATCTATGGCAGTATATGTGGGAGAAAGTAAAAAAAAAGTTAGGGGATCAAATGGTTGCCATGGAAAGAGGTTCTCTAAATATTGTAAGAAATATTAAAATGAAGTAAATAATAAGATGAATGTTTGGTTTGGTTTGTTGTGTTTTACGGTATATCAACCTCAATGGGTTATTTAATGCCGACAACTTTTTTTTTTCTTTTTCTGGTAATATTTTGTTTTGTCAAAAATCTATTTCTGCTAATATTTTTTCCTCAAAAATGTATAGCTGGTAATATTATTTTAAAACATGTATTGCTGGTATAGCAAGATCAATGTTACTGTTTTTAAACACAATTCTCCATGATTTTATCTCATTCATTCATATCTGCTCAATGCGTATCCAAATGTAAACAAATTTTCTATGAAAATTTCTCGGACATTCAGGCCGGTAAATGTTGTTAATACTGTTTATTATAAACAGAGCATTTACTTAAATATTTGTATCTATAAAAAAGAACGTATAAACATAAAAAATGCCTTAAAATAATTGTCGGACTTTGTCCATTTCATAATGTGTGACATCATTTGTTTACATTTGGATACGCTTTGAGCAGATATGAATGTACGTGAGAGATTCATGGAAGATTGTAGTTTAAATACAGTAAATTCGACCTTGATAATCGAACGATCCTCTGTGGCTCAATCGGTTAAGGCACGTCAGGCTATATACAGGTTCGATTCCTTTCGGAAGACGCATATTTTCTATGAACATTTCTCGGACATTCAGGCCGGTAAATGTTGTTAATACTATTTATTATAAACAGAGCATTTACTTAAATATTTGTATCTATAAAAAATGTATAAACATAAAAATGTCTTAAAATAATTGTCGGACTTTGTCCATTTCATAATGTGTGACATCATTTGTTTACATTTGGATACGCTTTGAGCAGATATGAATGTACGTGAGAGATTCATGGAAGATTGTAGCTTAAAAGCAGTAAAATCGACCTTGCTAAATGTAAATGTTGTTAATACTGTTTATTATAAACAGAGCATTTACTTAAATATTTGTATCTATAAAAAGAACCTATAAACATATAAAATGTCTTATATACTATAATATGTAGATATCATTCCAAAATAAAATTTGTACGTTGTGGATATTTTTCTCTGTAGATAAGAAGCCCAAGTAGATCCGACTATTGTTTAATAATCATTCAAGCATTACATACCTCCTTCCAGTCGAATCGAAAACAGCGATCCTGTTTTTCATCTTCTGGTGATGAGGAGGGTATGCTGATGACATAGGTATTCATAGTTGGGATAACAATGAACTTGAACAGAAAATCAACAATCTCAAGCATATGTTAAAAGAATTGAGACTCAAGAGAAATCTTTCCAAAACAGAAATCATGTTCTGGAATTGAAATGAAAGCAGTCATGGCACTTACCTTGGATCCATTCAGCATGTCGAATTAGTAATTATTAAACATTTCAAATACCTCGATGTATTTATCAGCTTTAAAAAATTTAGTTTAGCTAGAAGTAGTTTCGCTCGACACCGCAAGTTGCTACAACCCACTAAAAGAACCTAAACTCGAGTCCTGTCCTTTCATATAGATGTCATGCATAGAGCCAAACTCGTTTAGGTTAAAATTGGCTTTGAGCGAATGAATCCTGTATCATTTGAGAGAGACATCCTAATTCAAAACTTATGGACTGACGCTACAAAATCATACAGAACCGTACCAAATAAAAGAAATTACATCACTCGAGGACTTTCAGCAACAACTGAAATCACATGAAACTCGGGGAAAATAATGACAGAATCAAGATGTTAACGTTCCACACTACTTCAAACATAAGGTTAGGAAGGAAACCTCCATCAATACTGGAAAGAGCGATAACAGGGGATATGAGAAACCTATTTTCCTGAAAGAAATGTAATAGAAATATTTTATAAATTTCAACTGAACTGGCTGCTTGGTCAATGAAAATCGAACGATTCCTTGGAAGGAAGTATCTAATATTATTACCATCATTGTTTGTTAATAATTTTCAATAATTTTCTGTCTCTGCCAATTGCCAACTTCAACTGGAACTGCTTTTCACTCGCTGCGACTCTGCTTATATGGACGCCGACCAAAACCGGGGTGGGCTTGTCGGGGTTTGAGGTTCCTTGATAATTCTAAATCCACAATCCACTTCTTTGTTTTCGGTCAGGAAAATTTATTATTTTCCATTTTTGGAAGTCTTTCGTCCTCCCACCTTCTTCTGTTCTCATATTGGTATCTCACCATACCCTCAGAGGGTGTCAACAGGTTTCCCCTCTCTCTCACAGTGGCATCTCATACCGATCCCTTCAGGGGGCGTTAACAGTCCTCACCCCCTTCTTCATAGTTTACCTTCGCCTAATGGGCGCTCAGCGGCGTGGGTGTGGCTAGACTAGCCTCGGTTTAAAAATCTTGCTCAAAGAAAAAAAAAATTATCTCCTTTTTTTTTTCTTTTTCTTTTCTTTCTTTTCTTTCGTAG